AGTTGAATACTTTCATCCATAATAACTTATGTCATAGATTGTGAATAGTTTTCTCAAAGTTGTATTCCAGTTTTTGAGCAGATGTTCGTCTAGCTTTAATCTCAATTTTATCTTTAATTGCTTCAGTTTAAATGTCAGCTCACATCTCTAAATTAGGTGGTTCCTGTTGTGTGATCCCTTCATTTTTCCTTTTCGCTCTATTTCTATCAAAATAAAGTAAAATGGTAAATGCAACAAAGAGCAAACAAACAAAAAAGCTACATGTATACGTAGTTAAGTATGAATATAGCATATTTATATAAAAGTGATGCAAATATATTTAAATAAAGCAAAGCTGTCTCTGTCCTAAAAGAGAGCTTTTTTTTGTCATGTTATAGTTCTCTCTTTTTCTCTCCTTGCAATCTATTCCTCTCTGTCCTCACTCCCTTCCTGTCTCCCTCTTTCCATTTCCTGAGCTTCTCTATCTTCTGTGCAGCTATTTTTACATCCTCAGTAGATCACTTTTTGGAAGTTTGATTCATGTTTTTAGGATCCCCTGTCCAATTTCAAATTGCTAATTGAAATATTTTCTCAAATAAAACTCCCTTAAGAGGAATTCTTGAGCCTGCTGAAGGGTAATTCATTTTTATCTTTTCTACATCATATTTGAGAGTGCTCTAGGTAGCTTTGATGGCTTAGTGGTAAGGTATTGCACTGTCAGTTCAAAGGCAGGTGGTTCAAATCCTCCAGGTGCTCAAAAGGATAAGAATGGGAAATCTCCTTCCCTGCAGTTTACAGCCTCTCATAGCCTGCTGGAGACTCCACTAAGGTCCAGTCCAACTCAAAGGCACATAACAGCAACAAGTGGTGGTGTAGTATGTGGAAAGTTGTGCTGCTGCCAACCCAAAGGCAAAGTCTCTCTGGCAATTCAAATTCTTCAGCAGCTCTGAGGGAGGAAGATGAACAATTACCTTTAGGAGGCGATTTGTAGCCTCCAAAAGTTCCCTGGAGGGTCAGCTAAGAGTTGGTTCCAACTCGATGGCAAACTGATATCTATTTACCCATGCTAGTGTAAATGGATGTAATTTTAAAGTTCTCTCTCTCTCTCAAATCCTAAGCTCTGGTGGCTTGTTGTTGTTATTGAGTACCATCAAATCAGAACTCATACATAGTTGAACTTCCAGTGGGTTTTCAGAGGCAGTAAATCACATAGGAGTAAGTTTCCCATCTTTCTCCTGTATATTGACATTTGTGTTGGCAGTGAAATCCCTTACCACTAAGTCAACAGAGTGGTAAGGAATTTTACTGTGAACCCAAAGGTTTGTGGTTTGAATCCAATAGTTGATATGTGCTAAAATTAATATCATATTAAACAGAAGCCTCAGGTCAACATAATTGTTAATGGACATCCAGTTATATGAATCCATAATGTCTGATATTAACAGCTTCATTTCTGGCTCAATTCCCCAACTCCCCCATGGTGTTTGGAGTTCAGTGAAAAGATTTACTAGAAGGTCCTGCAGAGACTCAGACCTGTCAGGGGAATGACTCACATAAATGCAGGTATGCGGGCCAATTTTGTTTGTTTGTTCCCCCCCCCCAACAAAACTAGTGAGCAATGTGGCAGGCTGGATGCCACTGGATGCTTAAACACAATAGCACTGTAGCTTCTGGGATGGTGCTTTCACAAACACTCAGGTGTGAAGAGTTCTTTCTTACACTGATAGTCCAGCTGTTGCTGATTTGTAAGACAATGCTGGTTTATACAACCATGCATCTGCAATTAAGGTAGTTGGAGACCAGACTGAGGATAAAAGTAATAGCTAAAAAAAAAAAAAGCCAACTTTACAATAATACCACAGAAGGTAAGGTAGAAGTTGGTTCTGACTGGATAATACTTTAACAATTTTTTTAACAATTTTTAAAAAACAATCATTCAATACCATAAATAAATTCTCTTTCAGTATGACTTCTAGAAATCTCTGTGCATTAAATGCACCAGCTGCACCATGACGGAAAAATCGGTAATCTCCTTCTCTTCAACATTTACAACCCCAGAAATCCAGTGGAGGCTTAGCTATGAGCTGGTTGTGACTCCATGACAGTGAATTTGAAGTCAGATAAGACTTCTAAGTTGATGTAGGTACAAAACCTTCTATAAATGTGTTCAAAATTATTTTTTAAACTTTGCAGCCTTATAATAATGTATATAAACTCTGAATCTCATTTTTCAAACTACTTTGCAATCAGCAGATTTATGCTGATTACAAAATAGAAGATATGGGATAGCTAAGAGACAAGTGCTAGCAAGTAACATAAGAAGGAAAAGTTGGTCTTGCTTTTCATCTGAAAATGACCCATTCAAATAACATGGATAATGTAGGTTGCCTAGAAGAAGAATGCCAGTTAGTTTGAAGAAGGAAATGAAAACTCTGGTGCATGATCATTTCTTAGGAACAGGCTGCTATTGCCACCTGGAGGTAGTTCTTCTAGCTTCATGTAAGAGAGCCAAATGTGCCTCTGGGATGAATGAATCCGCTTCGCGTTTTCCTTGTCATTTCCACACAGGAAGAAGACTTTTAAACTCTCTGTCCATGAAATAATAAAGCATTCCAGATGCCTCCAAGTTCCTTTCCCTTAGAAATGCATACTTCACAGACTTTAAAAGGTACAGGATAAGATAAAACAGAAGATAATCATACTAAGGTTTCTGCATCTTACACCCTGAAAACGTATGTTGGAAAGTATGGATTATTTTGTAGGAAGTGAGGCTGAGGGTGGGAAGGGTGGAAACATTTTTAAGCTATGTTTAGCATAATGAAACCCAAATTTATTTGCCCTGAAGGAAGAGTTATTTGTGGACTGTTGGGGGAGCTAGCTGTGGTGGCATAGTCAGTGGGGAGTTACACTGCCCAACTAAAAGTGACTTTTGAAATCCACTAGCTGTTGCTTTTTGGGAGCAAGATGGGCGATTCCCTCCTGTGGCCCTGAATCTCAGCCTCCTAAAAACCATTAGAAGGTCAGCTATGGGTTGGTTCTACTTTAGCAATGAACTTTCTGACCGTGTAGTTTTTCTCAAAATATATCACTAATTGATATGGAAATTGGATGTGCTATTATGAACATTCTACTGATTTCATAAGTAATCACATAAGGTAATGAATTTCAATTATAAAGGAATAATCAAGAGTTTATTATTAGTTTTGTCAAATTATCGTTAAGAAACCCAGTATCTAAGTATTTAATATGTACTATATAACTTTTACATGTTTTTTTACATATTTGTTGAAATTTTTAATGAAGTTGAGATATGGTGCTGATTAATTAGAACGAATAAAACTGTCACCATTGTTAGAGAATGCCTAATTTCTACTTACTTTCTACTGCTTTTTTTTATGCTATCAACAAATTGTAACTTATTAGTAAGACCCTAAATCAACAATTTAATCCTGGAATGAGCAGTTTCAGGAAGTACGTATGGAAATTAAAAGTCTCTCTGGTGACACGAAAGAGTCAGTGCTGATTAGAGGAAGATAGTTATTTATAACACAGAATGACTGGTAATAGATTAACTAAATTAAATGTGTACCGTATCAGACCCAGCGTGGTGCAATAATCCTCTCAGAAGGTAAAGTTCATATCAAAGAACAACTGCACCAGCTTGAGGACAGGCTTTGTAAAGAAGGCAGTTTTTCTAAAAGACTGGAAACAGGTATGTGATTTACAAGAAATATATTGGAATATAATACTCAGTTTTCAGAAACATCAGAATTCTAGAGTAAAAAGTAAACCAATAAACTAGTACCTTCGTGCAGCCACTGGGTAAGGAGCAATGTGAGTCAAATTGAGGAACTTTAGCAACAAGCATATTTAATGGGGGACGGGTGAGACTCCTTCAAGGTGATCGCAATGGGGTCTGGGGACATTGGCACAAAAAGTATCAAAAAACTCATGAGTTTGAGGTACATAAACCTACTAAGTAGCAGAAATACAGGTTATTAGAAAATGTAATACCTACAGAAAATTAAATTGTCTTATTTCTGAGTGGGCAGCTTAAACAAGTATAGTAATAGTTCAGTAGCAAAGCTTTATCAATTTTTAATAACAACAATTGGTAGACTTATGATACTATTAGAGGTTTATGCTCCATACAAAACATAACTATGCTTTTGGGTGGGAGCAACAGGATAAACTCTCCAAATTTTATTGCCTCCTGAGTTGAGAATGCATTGGGCTTTATTTCTTTTGAGAATCAACACTTCATAATGATGAGACATGGAGATGATTTATTAACTATTTCATAATAGAAATAACAAGTAGTTCTAATTTTCATCATGGTGTTGCCTGGTTGTAAAAAAGAAAAGAAAAAACTTTAGTAAACAGAAGCAGAAAGTTTCTTCCTTAACATAACTCATATTTCATAGAAACATTCAGGAAGATGGGAAAGATTATTTTTTGCAGATGCCTCTAGTGCATTAATAGAGTGGGTACATTGTTTAAAAAGAAAAAGGGAAAAAAATAGGCAGGGTTTCTTCCCCTGGACTGCTGTTTTGACTTCTCTTTCAGGATGGAATAATTTTCAAATACTACTGTTAATTCTCTTTCTGAGATCAAAACCTCAACATCCATTCCCAAACCAACTCACCTACCAAATGGATGAGTTAATATATTCCTCCTATTAAAGATCCACATTATCAAAAAGAAAAAAAATCCACATTATCTACATGCTTCAGTAAGAAACAATTCGTTTCTTATTTTCGTCACTTTCCAGCAATTACTGTTTCTTCCAAGCCCTTTCTAAGTCTGTTTGACTTTCCTCTTTCCACTCTGCATGAACTGCTCTCAGTTCTTTCTTCTCTTGTGTTACTGAAATGTCTTCAACCCTCCTGATCTTAATCATCGCTAATGAAGGAAAGACATATCAAGGAGTATAACTAGAAGTGCTCCAGGTGAGCTACGAAGTTTCATATTGAATTGTATGCACACGCCTGTTTATGGTATATCTTTGTTTATCCACAGCCATGACGGATCCCAGCACAATGATCATCAACTTGGCCCTCTTTGGCATGACTCAGAGTGGAAAAAGTTCTGCAGGGAACATTCTTCTGGGAAGCAATGACTTCCACAGTAGCTTTGCTCCATGTTCTGTGACTCAAGATTGTAGCCTGGGCCGTAGTTGCTACCTCCACAACTTCATGCGCCGAAAGGGTCAAGAGATGGCTGTGCAGGTCCGGGTGTTAGACACCCCAGGCTATCCACACAGCAGCCAGAGCAACCAAAATGTCAAACAGAAAGTCAAGGATGCTCTAGCACAACACTTCGGACAAGATGGTCTCCACCTTGCCCTGCTGTTACTGAGAGCAGATATACCTCTTTGTGGACAGGAAGCATCACTTCCTGTGCAGATGATCCAGGTAATTAGAAAGACAATGTCACTAATGGCAGTATTCCCTTTTGTTAGACATTACCATGTTAATTGTTGATATCAAATCGAGTCTGACTCATGGTAACATTATGTATTACAACAGTCAAGCTTTTCCCAGTCCTATGCCAGCTTTATTGTAGCTGACATGTGTAATTGACTGTTGTTGTGGTTGTGGTGCCAATACATCTGATTGAGGGTTTCTTTCCTTTTTGTTCACTGTCTACTTTACCAAACATGATATCCTTTGCTCACAATTGGTCTTTTCTGACAACGTGTCTAGAGAAAGCAAGCCAAAGTTTAGTTAAAAGAAATCATTTAGAGCACACAGGGCTGTTCACATAGCAATAATCAGTAAAAAACATGATTTTTCCACCAACAGTCATTGTTATAATTTCCCTTCAGGGACTCAGTCAGTCATTTTACAACTGGATCATATTAAAAATAGAGACATATAAAACTTTAGAGGTTTCCTAAGTCTCAAATCTTTAGAATTGAAAATTTGAATATATATCTAAAACATGTTCCCTAGGTAATCAATATGAGAATCTCATGGATTGTTCATTTAAAAATGAAGATTCATTTAAGATTTACTGAAAACAAATCCCTAGAATCCTGAATATCTGATTTATGTATGACTCTTGAATATAGGCAATTTTCAGGACCACAACATAAAACACTGATTTTCACCCACTCAATCTCAAAGGGGAAATATCTTACCAAGAAATTGGTGCTCTTTCATTGACTTGGTCACTAAATACTGTTGATTGCAAACTTGCATGGAGATTAATTATTGGTGAGTAAATAAGATCTACGCTCAAAATTTTACAGTCTACAGGGAACACATTGATAAAAACAAGATTACACAGTAAGTACCAAAGTAAAAGCATGTTGGTAGAGTAAGTACTAAAGAATACAGAAAGGAGGGCTCCACTGAGGCTTTCAAGATACACATTTTAGAGAAGAAATTTACAGTATCCAGTGCTAATCTTGCCTCTACATCTTTAGTATCAATAACTTCTCTGTTCCAGAGAAAATTGCAAGGACTTAGGGTAAACAAAAATAACGATGCCTCCTTTAGCTAATGCTATCCTGTTTGCTTGTTTTTCTTATCATTTGCTAAATTGAATGTTTATACAGCCAGTTTATGAGAGGAGCTAAATGGAGGGAGAAGGTCTTAAGGATGGCCAGAGCTAAGAGCTAGAATAATGCACTCATGCTTGTATAAACATGTGTGTATGAACATGCGTGTATTTATTATTGCTGTTAGTTGCCATTATGTTGGATTAACCTCATAAAAATCTATGTACAGCATCACAAAGCATTGCCCATTTCAGTGCCATCTTCACCATTTTTGTTTCTTGAATCATTTGTTCAACCAAGATGTATTTTTAGTGTCTTTCAACCTAGAAAAGAGCCCTAGGGGTTTAATAGAAGTAAGCAATTTATGAGTTATCAATTCAAATTCAATAACTTCTCTTCAGGAAAAATTTGAAGCAACTTGCTGTCCTAAGGAGTTATAATTTCTCTCTCTCTCTTTCTCTTTCATTGTCGTCCATTTGTTCTAGTGTTACCTGATACTTGAGTGGATTTTCAGAGGTTTTAAATCACAAGATCATTCATCTTTCTTGAAACCAGAGGTAGTTTCAAACGTCTTACCTTTGGGCTCGTAGAGCAAGGTCTAAACCAAAACTTACAGAGCAATTCTACTGTATCTTACAGTCACTTTGGGTAGGAACTGACTTTACAGTAATGAGTTTTTGGTTCACATAGGGTCCACATCTTCTAATGCTATATTTAACACTATTCAGTTGTGATCTCTTAGGGTCTGGGACAATTTTTTTATAATGTAAATCACTAGTCCTATTTCTTCTGTCTTAGTCTAAAAGTTCTCCTGAAACTTGCACACTGTAGATGACACTTTCAGTATTATAGCAACATGTAAGCCATCAAAGTACGGTAAACTGATAGATAGATTGTTATTGTTGTCAAATCGAGTACGACTCCTAACAACCCTATGAACAATAAATCTGAACCCTCTTCTATCCGGTGCTACCCTCACAATCTCAGACATAGTTGAACCCATTGCCATAGTCATTATATCAATCTACCTGGTTGGAGGTCTTTCTCTCCTTCGCCATCCCCCCACCTTCCCAAGCATGATATCCTTCTCCAATGAATAGCCTCTTCCAGAAACATACACAAAATATATGAGACAAAGTTTTATCATTTTTACCTCCAAGGAGCACTCTGGTAGCAACTTTCTCCAAGGCATATCTGATTGTTGTTTTGGCAGTCCATGGGCTATTCAGTACTCATCTCCAACACTAGAGTTTGAAGGCATCAGTTCTTTTTATGTCATCCTTATTCTTTGTCCAACTCTCAGTAGCATCACAAGTGTTTGAAAAGTTCATAGCCTAAATAAGTTGTATCTTATTTCTCATAGATAGGTACAGAATATACCTGTACTATATATAGTATTTGGAAGCAGGAGTGGCATCCACTTCCTAAACCACATGCCTCTGGCAACTATATGAACTTTGAGAAAGAACAATATAGAAAGGCTTCAGGTCTTTTGTTAATAGAGTTGCTATGAGTCATGTTCGACTTGAAAGCAATCAACAACATATATAGTACACCTGCGAACTGATAGGACTTTGCCTTGCCTTTAAAAAGCTTTTGTCTGCTAGTCTGCATCTATTTCCAGGATGGGAAGATGAGCAGAATGGCCAGATTCTGCAAAGGTGTGTTTTCTGGTTTGGGGTTGAGACTAGGATGTGGCTCTAGCTTGTAATAAGAGTGTGAGCTGATGGGATTTGGTGTCACTTTTAAAAAGGCTTTTGGGCCCTTGGGCCTATGGACCTCAGGACTGATTTTTGTGGATATCCTGAATAAAACCGGCTTGGAAGCAGGAGTGGCATCTACTTAAAAAAAAAAGCTGGCCTCCGGAAACTCTATGAACTTGGAGAAAAGATGAAAGTTTTGTGTTCAAGACTTTCATTCATAGGGTCACTATGGGTCATCTTTGACTCTACAGTACTTAACAACAACAACAACATACTACAATATAGTTCTACTTCTATATCTAGTCCATGTAGACTATGTCCATAAATTTTTTGAAACTTCTAGTTACATTCAGTCTTTTGATTCTACCTAGACTGAGGTCACCAATATTTCATTATTGTATTTTGTTGTTATTTTTTTATTTTATTGTATTATTTTTGTGTGCGTGTACTGTCAAATCAGATCTGACTGGTACAGGAGGAGATTGCCCCTCCTTCCCTGGCAGAGCATCTGGTGGATTCGAACCGTGCACCTCTGGGATTGTAGTTGCAGCTCCTTGCCACACGGCCACTAGAGCTCTTCTATGTTGTTATTTTCTAACTGTCCTACACAGACACTGAGCACAGAAAGCCCCTGTCTATTAGCATGATACATAAACTATATAGTAATGAAAGACATAGTTCTCATTCAAGAAGAATTTATGTCTATGCTATTTTTATTTAAGTCCAGTATCAGGCCAGGTTGGTGTAGGACTGATTATACAAAGGAAGATAGTCTATTTTGTTTTAAAGAGGGGTTTTATGTTGGTTTTTTTCCCCTTTTAATGAGTAATGACATAAGACTGTGCTAAAATAAAGACACACATTTTGTTTCGTACATGTTTCTAAAAATGAGAAGAGAAATAATGCCATGTGTATAATCTCAGGAAATTAATGGAAAAAATTAGGGTGACAAGAGTATTAAAAATAGTCTTCATCCTCCAGCTCCTGGAAAATCAAGACATTCTGTACAAAAGCATGGAAGAGGGAAGATGATTGCAATTAAGAAACAATATGAGATCTAGGAGAGTCCATCAGCCTTTCCCAAATCATTAAAGTCTGCATTTAGAAAAAAAAAATTCTGTGGAAATCAAATAGAGAGAAATTATATTAGTGTTATTTTAAGAGTGCTCAAAATTTATTTAAAACTGCTATTAAGTAAACATTTAGCTTTGTTATCTTATTATGTGCCATCTAGTCAATCCTAGAAAAAGATTTGATGTCTTTGAATTGTAGTGTTGGAGATGAGCATTGAATATCCCCATCAACTGCTAAAAAAACAACAGGTATGTCTTGAAGAAGGTGCAATCAGAGTGCTCCTTGGAGGCAAAGGTGATGAAGTTCCATCTCACATATTTTGGGCTTGCAGGTAGGAGAGATTATTCCTTAGAGAGAGCCATCATGCTTCAGAAGGTGGAGGGATGGCAAAAGAGGAAGATCCTTAGCAAGGTGGGTGACAAAGTCACTACAGCAATGGACTAGATTGTGTTAGAGATTGTGAGGATGGCACAGGATAGGACAGGGTTCAGATCTCTTGTCCGTGTGGTCACTATGAGTCAAACTTGGCTCGACGGCCATCTATATACATAGCAACCCTGTAGGAAAGGGGCACTGTTCCATAGAGATTTCCTATGTAAAAGAGAAACCGACTGCCATACTTTTGTTTTGTTAAGCAGCTGATGCATGAGAATGGCTTTTTAAATTTGTAGCTGAGTGTTTTAACCATTGCACAATCAAGCAGTGGTATTGCTGCTGTTGCTAGGTGACTTTGCATCAAGGATGACTTATAGCAACTCTATGAACAATTTGCCTGAACACTGTCCACCCTCAAGTTCATTGCCACAGTTATCGTGTCATCCGTTTTAAGGTTTTCCTCTCCTTCACTACCCCTCCATCGTGCACCACTAGAACTCCTTTGTTATTGTTGTTTGGTTCTATTAAAATGACTACAATTCATAGTGATTCTTTGCACAGTAAATCAAAACCCCTGCCAATTCTGTATCACCTTTAGAAACTATCGGTAGTCAAGCTAACCATTGCAGTCACAATGTCAGCCTATCTCACTGAGGACTTTTTCTACACTTCCTTCACTACCTTTCTGTCTATGGAGCATTCTGGATACATTTCTATAAACTGATTTATTATTTTTTTGTTGTTGGTTTTTATGCAC